GCGTCTTAGGGCCGTAGTGCGGTAGTGACACTTTTCCGGACATGGGTCCCTATACTCAAATGTTTTCTACTGTTGCACTGAATAACCCCTAGAAGTTTGATCCCATAGTTCTGAAACACCCTGTATATATGTGAAACACAATCTACTCACGGAAATGTAAACTGATATGGAAGATATCGTATATTATATATTGTTTTTGTAAAACTTGAGACAGTTTCACTAAAAACAAAACAAGTTACTCTTTTAATTTTGTTTACAAAATACACTTCGCGAGCAACTGAAACACTTGCGTTGTAAAAAAACAAAAAGCGTTGCGTTACACAAGATAAATTTCTCTCTTCCTCATTTGCATTCGTTTATTATGTAGATTTCGTTTACGAGCAAAACAATTCACAGAGTTTGAAATTGCAAATTTTCTAGATACACCACGCTTTATCCGCAACCTTTTAATAATCTTTTCCGACAAAAAACACGCGGCGATTTTTGTGTCCCGTAATTTTTTTTACAAAATTACATCTAATTACAAAGTGACCCCTTCCGTAACGAGCATTGTTTCGGTTTGTTTTTTGATTTTTTTCTTTGCCCGGTCGGTGCCGCCGTTGCGATTACCTGACGATTACCGTTCGCGCGAAATATTCCGGATAATATCACGTGAGTATGTGTACGTCTGTACAGTGAGAGAGTCTGCGCGCGAGAGATTGCGAGTAAAAACTAATCTACGTGTGTTCGATGATCTAACTCCGAAATTAGAAATTGCGTAACCCGCGGAGTGTGCCGTTTTCTGCGAACGAGAGATGTGAAAGGAGAGTGCGAGAGTGTGATGTACGATATGTGTACAATGTATATGCGCGTCGTCATGCCGCGTGAATGGACGCTCGCGCGCGCGCACATGCCACGTTCTCCAATATATTCTATCGTCATTAATCATATTTCATCCCCCCACACATCCATACTAATGTATTCACGATAACGGTTAATGCAAGTCTGTAAGCATCTGTAAGTTATTGGTACTATTATATCATCATTAAATGTGATAAAGCGAACACGAGAACCCACGGATTTCCCCCTCCCTCTTCCTCCCTCTCCCCCAAGTCACCTCCCTATCAGCAAGCGCAGGAAAGACAGGATAGGAAAACTCATTTAATGGTCGATATTCATTGTTCATTATTTATAAAAACCTCGAAACGCAGAATACAATAAAATATATAGTACTTAATTGAGGCGTTGATTCTTGTCCGTTCTCCTTTTTCTCGATTCGTTTTTCAACGAGGACATTCTTCTCGAGATAATGAAGAGAAGCGCTACGTATATATAACTATAGAGTGCTGCATTCACTCTCGATGTTGCATTCAAAGGTAATTGACTCGAGAGCGCCTTTCGCGATCGTGCGTGTTAATTCTATTGTATAAACTTGATGAACTTTTATTGGTTTCGAATTAGGATTCGAGGGTCCGAGGCGCGAAATGAAGAAGGAAAATTGTTCGAGAGAGAACGTTACTTAGCGCGTCCATTACGAAAAGACGTTCCATCAATTCAACTCCATTGCGTCTCTTATATATATATATATATATATATAGCCGTCAGTCTTATTCTTTGAAAAGAAGAAGAAACTCGTCGCCGACTCTTGAATCACGACGTCTTTCTCTCTTTCTCTTTCTCTCTCTCTCTCTCTTAATGGTTGCTCCTGACACGATTATGGAAATCGATACTACACCAAAGTTACGCGCTCACGTATTCGTGATCGATAATTCAAGCGCATTTCAAGCTGATAATGTCTTTCCTCGGTTGATTTTCCTTCGCCGTCTCCGAAATACACTAGAGGATTATTCCGCTGGGAAGAAACTTATTTCGAGGGCTTCATGGACGATCTTCTCAGGGTGGCGACACAATGATAAACTCACCCGGACGAAACTCGCTACGATAAAAGCCACCGGAAGAGACTCCGCTCGAGTGCCGACTGTTGGGCGAAAAATTGAAAAAAAAAGTAACAAAAAAAACCCGAAGCGCGAGAG